AAGCGGTAACTGGTGGCCGAGAGTGTGGGTGGTCGTGAAGTGGGTAACAGTGTTCCACTTTGGTCGGATCAGCCTCTCGGCGTCCCAGGCTCTGAAGAGTCCCGGCTGATTCGCATCTAATTCTGAAAACACTCCCGAGTTGAAATACTCGGGAGGGGAAAGCCTACTGAGAGGGTGAAAAACCCTCCAGGACGAGAGTAAATTCACTTTACATGGGGGATTAGGCCGTGAGGCTTAATGTCCAGCCTCAAATAGTGGCTGGTGACGTTTGGCATAAGATACTCCTGGTGGACCTCGCCCACTCTACCGTGTCACACTGATGCTAGCTGGGCAACCCTTTGTCCGGCCACAGAAGTCCTCTGAGTGNTCAGAGGCCGGTTTTCGTCGAACCTCCCGTGAAGGTTCGGCTGGCGCCCGACTATTGAGCGATAGAGACGGCTAAAAAGTAGTTTGGATTTTTCCTGGGTGAACAACCCGGGAAAATATCCTTACAAATTCTGAATGTGAATAAATTTGTGAGGATTCCGAACAAATGATTTTTATGGCGGAAAATGAATTGTTTATAAATGCTTTATAGAAAATGCTCGTAATTTTCAAAAATTGCCATTTTTAATTATTTCATCAATCTTCCTCCAAAAGTAAACTTTCTCATTTTTTTTGTGGCGCGAGCCACAATAGATTAATTCCTTGAATTTATTTCGTAGCGTCTCGAATATTCCAAACGTCGAAATTCGAGACAAACGTCATTCTGTCCTTGTCCCTCACGAAATTTCAGGACAATTTCGAACCTTCGATAAACGAAGGTATATAAACTCGTACGCTCCCCGACGGAATAAGACAGTCGAAGTCAGTCTACTTTTGAATACACATGTAAACACTTGCCTTTAAATATACAGTTCGTGTCAACACCGAGTTATTATTCTTGATACCCGCACCAAACCGCCACATTTTTTTAGATATAAAAAATGTTTTTTAACGGTTCAATATGGAGATTCAAGTTCAGACCTGCACAGTTTAAATGATAAAATCATTGTAAAATATCCGCAAATTTAAAGTCAAATGGGGCTCAAATGAAAGCTCTGATATTTCATTACAAAAGTAGAGAAGCATTTCTCTCTACATTTCTCTCTCATTTCTCTCTACAAAAGTAGAGAGTATGTCAATGATGAAACCTTCTCGTGGGTAAACTCCCAAGTCAATCGAGAAGTTTTCATAAATTTTTAAGTAGTTTTCGAGTGTTTTGGGATCTCCTAGAAAGAATGGTGAAAGCTTGGGAAAATGGAGGGCTTTTTAGACGATTGCCGAATGTACTAGAAGATTCTGTACAGCTCTGAATCTTTCTATAATTTTCATGAAGAATTAATAATCCTAGAGGATTTTCCCAATGATTCTCAAATTTTCTTGTCCACTCTGTACCGGTCTAGACCGCTCTATAACTTTCTAGAACATTTCATGATTTCAGAGAAACGGATATTTCAAATTTATACAATCATCTGAAACATGCGTAAAAATTTCGATTCGCAAGGTTATTTTCACGTAATTGTACAGTAAAATTAAAATAAAACTCGCAGAAAACTGCTTCATCGGTCTAAAGTTTTTTATACCTTTCTAAAACCTTACATAAATTTTCGGAGAAACAAACATTTCAAATTATATAGAGTAAGATTTCACTATTCAAATGACTTATCTAATGATTTTTTCAGACTTAAAAATGTATTTGGATTGTATCATAATGCTGATTGTAATGTTCTGATGCTGGAATACAGAGGATATGGCCTCTCTCAAGGTAGTCCGTCCGAGGAGGGTTTATACATGGATGCTCAAGCAGGAATTGACTTTTTAACAGCTCGAAATGATATAAACACTTCAGAAATTATAGTTTTTGGTAGATCTTTAGGTAAAGTATTTCTTCCTGCAGTAGAATTATGTACGCTTGTGGATTGTTATTGTACATCTCGATAACATGGCAGAATATTTTTTCACAAAAAAATTGATCACAAAAATAATTCCAGTAAAGAAACGTAAAGAATATCAGTCCTAAAGTAAATTGCAAATTATCTGGAAAAATCTTCAGTTTTCAATTCTAGAGAATGAGATCATGTTGAAGCTTTTTCAGTAGGAAAATTTTTTGGGCCTCTATTTTTTTTTTATTAGAGAAATTAATTCAGACATCTTCTTTCAAAGATAATCTGTTTAACGAAAAAAATTTCTCGTGGAATTTTCTGAGCAGAGATCAGCCTCAAATGAATCTACAGAACAATTGATATCAAATTCGATTCGATTTCAACCATAATTTTACCTATTCGTGATTTTGTTATTTCGATGAATGGAAAAGCAATTATTAAATTTTTTCAATTGTTTCTTCTCTGTTATGATTACAGGTGGTGCAGTGGCTGTTGATTTAGCAACGAAATTCGATAATGAACGTAAAATTTGGTGCCTTATTTTGGAGAATACATTCACCAGTATTCCTGACATGGCCTCAATTTTGATTAGCTCAAAATTACTCCATTATTTACCATTAATCTGCTACAAAAATCAGTTCATGTCAGTAAGAAAGGTACATTTCATAAGAGTTCCCACATTGTTCATATCAGGATTATCAGACACACTAGTACCACCGCACATGATGAAGGAACTGCATAAAAAATGTTGTAGCTCGTACAAACGTTTAATTTCGATACCGGGGGGTACACACAATGAAACATGGAATCAAGATGGTTATTACGAACATTTTAAGACATTCATTAATGACCTTAGACAAAAGCCACCACCACGTGTGCCAGCTAGTCACGTCTATCAAATAGACGATATTTAGTACTGAATTCTAATCTCATTTTTTACACAAATTGCGTCCAAAACATTGATTCATGAGTTCTGTAGTTAAGTGGAATAATCGTATATACATACGAAGTGAAGAAATATATTTTAAAACTAGTGGCGTACTATTTTAACGCAATTTGTTTATAGAACTTTATCCTAGGGATTTTTTTGAATTTATACAATTTTTCATTGCACATGTTCAAGAGTAGTCAGTAATACCTTGATATGGATTCAACAGTGGAGTGATGAAAGACGATGTATCATAATCAATTAAAAGATTATCGTATGAATGAATTTGAAAGAAGAAATTTTAAAGAAATTCATCGGAAGGCTTTTGTTGCAGAAAGTTTACTAGACTTTAATCGTTTAAGGACGAGGTGCATACCACATAGCGATCCACGCGAAAGTGAATGATGGCGATCAAAATTGATTATTTCTAAATCCATGGCGTACCTCCAATCATACAAATATTATTGGGCCATATAGACGCCAGCTTCAGTTACATAGCAGTATGGTAATTTTCCGTTGATTAGAAGTAATAGGGGAGAGCGTTAATAAAAAAGAAAATTTTTTATCAATTTTTTTTATTATTGGGAGTACCGATGAGAATAATAATTTTCTATTCGGTAGAAAAGAACATGCTGTGCGAAAAAATTACTGATACCCTGGGCCTTTCTCTGGACTTTAGATTTTGCTGTTTCATTTTCTTTTCAATTAATCCATTAACAAAATCTTCCCACGTCAAAACTTGTCGATAATTTTCCATTCTACGGAACGGAAAGTTATTATTCTCATCAGTACTCCCAATAATAAAAGTAGTTGATAAATAAAAGTTAAGGCCCAGGTGTACTATCTTTCGTCCGTTATCTCGATGTTTTTTTTTCATCTTTCGTCATCTGAAATTGTCAATTAAGTCCTGCACCATGCAGAAGTTTTGAAAAATTATGAATGAATAATCAAAAAAAAAGTAGAAAAAATTCTCAATTTTTTCAAAGAGCATTTTTAATTTATGTTCAGAATAAATTGAATAACAAGAAATTAAAAAATGTATCTGATTTACGGTGACAAATGGCGGCCTGTCACCCAATATCATGCCGTGGGAAGACTGATTTCGTAAATCTTTTCCCACACTGCACAGAGACATTTATTACGGAAAAGGCTCTCTGAAAAAAGTTGTAATATTTTGGAGAATTCTTTAATCACACTTTTATCACATAAAAATGGCAGATGACTACATACCACTGTTTTGAAAATTGAGATACCTAGCTGTCACTTCCCATGAGGAGTTAGTGTTTTGTTATCCACCATGGAAAATGACAGCTAATAGATAATTTGCCACAGCGAATCAGATATTTGTAATTTCCACTTTTTTCAACTCATTCTGAATCTCATCTAAAAACGCTCTTTGAAAAAGTTCAGAATTTGTTCTATTTTTTTGTTATCATTCAATCATAATTTTTGGGAATTTCTACACGATGTACCACTCAATTAACAATTTTGGATTACGAAAGATAAAAAAATTCCAGATAACATTCGAAAGATATTACACCCGGGCCTTAATAGAAAAAATAGTTGATAAAATTTTTTTTTTGCTTGAATTGCGTCAAACAGTGGTTTTCAGCTTGTTTAATTTTGCCCCACTCTCCCCTAGAATTCGAATTGTATTGTGCATATATTTGGTAACTTTTCTCGCAAATTACTTATTTCTGCGATATTCGCAAGTTAAGATCTATAGAATTTCTGCACTCACATCCTTTTATTGCTTCACTGCGGAATCGCAGGTGAATTCTTCTTGATGTACAGAGATCTTTTTTTTGCACTTTCTCATTCCACTTAACAACTGAATAATCCAAAAATAATGAATGCAGATTATCAATGATTCGAGGGACACTGCTGTGATGATACAAATAGATTACCATTTTTTTAAGAATCTTATTTATTGAATGCAAAGAAATCTTCCTCCAATGTCTCTCTTCGTGAGGAGAAGAGTTTTGTATGATTACATGAATTTCATTGGGTAAATTTGGGGTGTTGTTGAGATATATGGAAATAGTTTTTGTGTAGTCAGTGAAACATGAAAACAATCAATTATCTTTATATAATTAGTAGTGAAGGGGTTAAAGAGGACGAGTTCAATGTAGATTTTCAGATTATTTTGTAAATATCTTCGAGAAGAAGATATGTCTATCGGTATTTTATCATTAAAAGAAACAGTTTCAGAGATATTTGCGAAATAATCTATATGGAATTCTTACACTTAGGGGTCAATGCGACAAAATGGATTCTTTGTTTCTGTAAATAATTCTAAATCCGCTGATTAGAATTTTCATCTTGGCATTCCAAATATTTACAAGGATCCATTTTGTCATGCTCTTTCCTTCTGTATATAAAATTCAATGTCAATTCTAGTTTATTTTCATAAATAAGGGCAAATATAAGATGTAATAGTTCTAGTTCCCTGCCAACCGAAGAAAAAGAAATAACGATGAATCAAATCATATTTATTTTGTGTTCTATCATGATAATATAAGGGAAAATAAAATTGCCAAATCATGTATCCTTTTAGAAAAAATGCTTTTTCTTCTTTCTTTAGAGCGTCCATTTTAGTTATTCAGCAGTTAAGTGCCGAGAGATGACGAAATGTAAATATTCTGTCTTTTGAACCCCTTTGTCTCGAATCTCTTTGGGCAAAAACTGGGACTTTGTTTCGAATTCAGCGTGGGAGAACCTAGATTACTTCAACTCTTCAGTATCAGCTAAATGAAGGCTGTGGTGTGCAACTCCTATCTCTTATTCTTCCGCATTTCACTTCCAGAAATTACGCTATATTGCTTTCGAATGGAAGCATTGTAATCATTCAAATTTAAGTTTTCGATTTTTTTGTATTATATCGACCCATTAGAATCCAAAAAGTCTGAAAATGAAATTTTTAGACCGTGTCCGTACGTATGCGTGTATATATGTATGTGGGCGGTAAATTTTTTCTTCAATTATTTGCTAATGAATGGATGGAATTGAATCGTTTTTTTTTTTCAAATGTAGCTATTGTTGAGCCCTATCGATCGCCATTAATTAAAATTAAATTCATCGATTAGTTTTTTACTTTTGAATTTTTTCGAAATTCGGTTGTCCCACAATAACTAAAAAAAAAGAGTTCCGTTTGAACCTTTGTAGGGATAAGACGTGTTTTGGATTCGCTCCGTAAATAATACCAATGCCTATTGTGGTAAACTATCCCTTTCAACACGGACTGTCAATGAGTGCAGCCCATTAGGGGCGACTCTTGACTAGTTTTCACTATTTTGTTTCCAACCACCATGGAAGAAGTGAATAAAATAACAAATGAGAATGACGCAAATGCGCCCAGCTTTCAGGTCCTCCAGCCGCAAACATTCGCGCAAGCAACAAGTAACATGCAAAATTCTGAGGCTTTTCCTAGTGACGAAGAAGGTGTCATAACCAGTGCAATCCAAGGCACTATAATATATATATATATATAAATGAAGGAGTATATTTATGCAGTTGGAGACTTCGTGGGTCGTATGAACGTACTTGCAGCTGAAAGAATACAGGGAAATCGAATTTCGATGTACGTTAAAAGCCCAGAACTCGTTGATAAATTGGCATCACCGGACACCAACTTATACATTGTAGATCATCTACTTAGAATTATTCCAGAAAAAGCCAAAATCCGCAAAGTGATTCTGTCGAACGTTTCGCCTAACATTCCACACTCGGCCATTGAAGAAGCCCTGAAGGTCAGTAAAATCGATCTAGTCACAAAGGTGTCTACAATCAAGTTTAACTTGGACAAGGAGGGATATTCTGTGGTGAGCTCTAGACGACAATTCCAAATGAAAAAGGAAGAAGTTCTCAAAATTTCAGAGATTCTCAAGATCGTATACCGAGGTAAACAATATTTGATTTCATCCATTGTCGATAGCCAAGCCTGTTATAAGTGTAATAAAACAGGGCATATTGCGAAGAATTGTACCCAAGACAAAACTGGAGATAATCCCCAGTGACGTAGCATGTCTCAACGCCTGTCACAACAGAGAAACATCCCTCCATCCCCACCTAATATTTTACCAGCGGACCTGAGCATAGAAAAAAGGGAAGGCAACACAACCACAGAGAACCAAGTAATGACAGATCCAGAGAATGAAGAAGGCAAGAAGCAATCAACCAAACATGTCGATAATCTCAAGATAAAATGGAAACAGATGAACTCCAGAATACGAAACTTCCCCTAACAGATTTCGCTGAGCTTGCGTTCGCCCCAGGGAACTCAGCAAGTGAGGAGGATGACGACTTTGAGCTTCCGAAGGTTCAGGTGAGAAAGGCGAAAAGACCCAAAACTATAAAAACTCGCCTTCTCACTGAAGAATTCATGAAAGCTTATTCAATTAAAGTAGCCAGAGTGTTCAAGAAAAACCCAGAGGACTACTGCCTGGATTAAGACCAGTTTCTCAACTTCGTCGGCAGGTTATTTGAAGTAAAAGACCTGCGACTTCTCGCCGAGCAGAACAGCAACGACCCCTTAAACCTTGCTACCACTCTGAGATGTCTCCAGCCCTACATCACAGACATAACATTCAAAGTAGAGTGACCAATCTGGCAAACAAATTGGAAAACATCGCAGTTAACACAGAGGAAGATGGGTATCTGACAGCGTCATCCCAAAACTAACTGTCATTATGGCTGCTACACAAACACAACAACTAAATGAAACCAACGTTCCCTGTAATCTGAAAGTTATCTTCTGGAATATCAGAGAAATCAACGCGCATCGAGAGGACATTGAACTGGCTCTCCAGGACTTCGACGTTTTCATCGGTGTCGAGACTAAACTCAACCCGGCAGACAAAGGACCTTACAAATTTACGGGCTTCAATACCCACCGTGTAGATAGACCTATCCTACCAGGTGAAACAGGGCAGGGAGGTATAATAATAATTGCCAAAAATAATTTATCTATTAAGCTATATCAAAATTTTACGAATCTACACTCAAGCATAGAACTTGCAGCTATTGAAATAATCAACGTCAAACCGAAAATAAATTACTTGTATGCTATCGAAACCCAGAATGTAGTTTAGATCTTGAGCACTGGAAAAAAATATTTGATATACATAGAGTTTATGAAGCTTATGAAGCTCTATCAAATTTGGTATATATAAAGCTTACGAAAATTGTTTGTTATGGTTTAAGACTCTATGATTGTATAGAGAAAAATGATATATTTTTGTATAATACCGATACTCACACCCACGTGGACATATATAGAGGAAATAAATCAAGCATAGATTTGGTAATGAGCAGTCCGGAAATATCAGATATTATAACGGTTAGTGCACTTAATGAAACTTGGGGTTCTCACCATTATCCAATAAAAATTAATCTTAGCGTCCAAAAAACACTGCATAATAGAAAATCTTTCAAGATCACTTCGGTACAAACAAATTGGCACACACTGGATGTTTTATTAAATAGTTCATTTTCACTGTTTCTGGCACCAGCATATGAAAATCCCAACCCAATAGAAAAATACAGATATTATGAAAAAAAAAATGTTACCAAAAGTGGAGAAGTACCAAGAGACTTGGTGATCTTATAGCCTACAGAAAATCTGTTGCCACTGCCAGAAAAACTTTTAGGCAGAAGAAGAAACAATCCTTCATTAAATTTACAGAAAATTTAAATTGTAGAAAAAATATTAAATATGTCTGAAACACGCGCAGAGTCCTGAAAAATGCCTGGATAAATACAGGATCCCACAAACCCAGAGATTTTGTTCAGATAAGGGAACAGATTTTTCAGGCAATGGGAAAACTAACCCGCGACATAGATCTCGTAGACACTGCCTACATGCCCCACTCTGACCCAAATCCGTTATTCGACCAATCTTTCTTCTTCGATGAATTCAATTATGCACTGCATCATAGAAATAGTCAATCGGCTCCAGGACTAGATGGTATAGATTACAACTTACTTAAAAAAATTCCCTGTTCAGCTCAAGTTGATACTTCTAGACATCTTCAATGAAATCCATCATTCTGGAGAGTTTCCCCCCGAATGGAAAGCTACCTTCCTTCACTTCATCCCCGAGAATAACAACTCTGGAGTCAGACCCATAGCCCTAACTTCGTGTGTACTCAAATTATACGAGACAGTACTAAAAAGTGGACTGCAATGGTGGGTGAAATGAAACGGGATTCTTTCCCTGTCCCCAACAGAGTTCAGATCAGGACTGTCGTGTAGGGACAACCTCGTAAACCTCAGACTTCATGTAGAAGATTCCTTTAGAGAATAAGAACAGATACTAGCAGTATTTCTGGATATTACAGGAGCATTCGACAACGTCGACGGGGTTAGGCTATTGGATATCCTCGCGGAGGTCGGATGCTCTTCTACCATCGACCGACAGATTTATTAAATTTGTCACCCAGGGGAGGGTTCTGCACTGTGATGCTCTGGGGGACGAGTCCAGAGCAGCCAGCGGGGGGGTCCCTCAGGGTGCAGTGCTCTCCCCCCTCCTCTACACAATCTATACTAGGAAAATCCTCAAAAAAATAAATTCTAGAGTGGAGACATCACTTTTCGCTGATGATATAGCTTTGTTTATCCGTGTCTCTGAATATGAAAAAAACAAAGCTATTCTAGAGAAATCAATAGATCAGGTGATAACCAACCTTAAAGATTTAGGACTGGAAATTGACCCCGAAAAAATAGTACTCCTGCGCTTCAGTAAAAAAGGCTCTCTGCCAGCAAACACCCAGATCAGAATAAAAGATCACACCATTGTATCTTCTCCGACCGCTAAGTTCTTAGGCATATACTTTGACCAAAAACTGAACTTCAACCACCATATATCTATACTTCAACATGCGATGTTTGAAAGCTCTAAACCTCGTCAAATTCCTACAGAGAACGTGGTGGGGAACAGACCTTGAAACACTGATTAGATTATACAAAAGTTATGTCCGTTCCATAGTGGATTATGGTCTATTCGCCTACTTCCCGAATACCAAAAAATACCAATCAAAGCTAGAGTCGATACAATATGCAGCCATCCGCTTTGCACTGGGATACAGACGTTCTACCCCAACCAATGTTTTGATAGGTGAATTAAAGCTCATGCTGATTAAAGATCGTGCCAGCTTCCTATGCAAGACATATTTAATGAAAATCCTGAGTAATCAATCCACCCAAGTATACGACACAATCTTCCTTATTTTCAAAGAAAAGAGAACAAGGACCCTCTGTCGAGATAAACTAATCACCAAGTGCATTAGAGATGTGTTGCAACTTGAGAATTCCTTGAAAACCAATAAGATCTTCAATATTTTTATATAAAAATATTTTCAATATTTTTTTTCAATTCAATATTTTTTTTTAAATAAAAACAAAAGACGACCTTGGCACAACTCTCCAAACCCTCCCAGCACCAAACGAAGCTCTAAATCGGGCAATTACAAGTAGTTTTCAAACCTGGAATATCATCTATACAGACGGTAGCAAGGATTCGGAAACAGAGTATGTGGGAGCAGAGTGTCACTGCGCCAGTCTGGGCGTTGACACTTCTGTTATCTTTCTTCTGATAGCTATATATTTGTTGATTTGATTTTCATAATGATTGTTGAAAATTGGGAATTTTTAATGAATTTCCCTGAAAGGGAGTTTTCTGATGGTTTCTTCAAATGTGATGTTTCAAATTCATTCAAGTATGTGTAAATAAAATTTTTCTATTACCATTTTATGAAAGGCCTAAGGAGATAAATAGAACTGTAAAAAAGGCAATCGGTTGTATAGAAGAAAAGGGGAAATAAGAATAATGATGAAAATTTAAATTGAAAATCTGACGAAATTAGATAAAAGGAAATCTTATTCAATTTAATAAAATTAAATAAACAATGCATTATACATGATAGAAGGAAATGATGTGCAAAATAACCATTCGGAAGCATATTGCTAATTTATTAGTAAAAATAACTATACTATATACAAGAGGAATTTCCCACTTGTTTGAAATGGAAGCAACGATTCTGTGGCTAGTGCACGGCCCTGTGGTCACCTGAGTTCAACAACATCGTTCAATCAATTACTCAAAAATCTACTGAGAATATGTGCAAAGGCACGAAAGAATCATCTTCTAGGGTGTCATAGAATAATGGGTGAGAAACTTTTCATGAAAGCTAAATAAAAAAAATGATTCTTGAAGGAGAGCTTTTCCTACCGTCTTTACCCATATTTTAGTTCTTTCTATGATCTTATCACCTGATTTATTTACAAAAAGTCCACTATTTAAAATCGTCGGTTCGAACGTCTTTTTCTCAACGCAAGTTTATAAGAAATTATCATGCCAGTGACCACTAGTAATAAGAGACTAACAACTGCACTGATGACAATTATCACCATCCCACTTCCAGATTTGAGGGCGATTTCTTTTCTTCTATGGAGAAACTGGTCACTTCCTTCAAATACTTCGAGTCGGCTAAAGTCATTTCCGGTTAAATTATCGTCGCAAAAGACTTGGCCTTTCCATTTCATCCAATGGACCATTCTCTTGTCGAATAATTTCAATGGGCTTGCGCATCTGTAGTAAAAAAAGTAAAAGACTTTAAGAGAAGTTAAACACTTTTGTAGCGAACTAGTGGAATGAAATTGGACGAATCAAGTATCTATATCTCGACAAACACGGAATAATTTTATAGATGAATAATTACAAAGGTGAATGTCAAGATTATTTTTTAGTTGAAAATGTCTTCAACTATAAATGCAGTCTCGTCACGTTTGCCTCCAAAATCACTTGTTTGGAAATTGAAAGCACATAATCAATAATTACAGGTTCCATTCATAATGTTCCACTATATCGCTAAAAAAATTGTTGTATTGAGCTTTGTGAAAACGCAGAATTACTTTAGATCAATTAGAAGTTCAGGATTGAGAGCGTAAAGGTTGGGCACTAATCTTTCCAGCATCCACTCGGATTTACAGTCACAGATGAATGGATTTCCTTGCAAATTCACTCCATACTCTGGCAACGTTTCGTTCAAGACCTTCTCCAATTTTTGGGAAATTCTGGTGAGGCCGTTCTCGCTGAGGTCTAACTATAAATCAAACATCACACTGGTTAGAATGGTAACAAAAATAATGGATATAGTGTGGAAGTAAAAGGAAATAATTGAAAAAATTGTTGAAATAGCTTAAGTGGTTTTCGATATATTTGCGATAAACGATTTAAGAACGGATCGCTATGTCTCAAACACTGACTCGATTGCTCTGAAATCTTGCATAAAGTTAGTTCACATCAATGCCAAATATCGGACAAAATTTTGTGGAAGTGTTTTAGTTGTTTTATTACTCAATTTACGAAAAAATTGGGCTCCAAAAGGGCACCAGCGGACATCCACACAGACGAAGATTCCCAAGTACAATTATAAAATGTAACAATAGTTCAGAATGAATCAATATCTCATTACATTCTTCGATATTTACGCATTTTTTCCCAATAACAATAAGCTTCGTAATTGCTTCCGAAGAGAAACATTGTAATCGTTCAAATTCAAGTCTTGGATTTTTTGTTATATCGACCCATTATGATCCAAAATCCGAAAATGCAATTTTTATATCGTATCCGTACGTATGTGTATGATAAAGTTTTCCTTCAATTCTCCGCTAATGAATCCATGGAATTGAATCATTCGTTTTTCTTAAATGTAGGTATTGTTGAGCCCTCTCGAACGCCATTAATTCAAATTTAATTCGACTAATTTTTTAATTTTCGAATTTTTCCGAAAATCGGTTGTCCCACGATAACTAAAAAAAATGTTCTGAATTGATTGAATAATGACTTTAAAAAATCGTTTGGATGTCCTTTCGGCCGAGTTCGAAGATGAAGGCGATAGTAATAATCTTTATTTTCATTTATTTGAAAATTGCAAAAATTCTGTATTTTTTTTAAATCAGAATTCCGGGGATATCATTGAATATCATGCTTCAAATGAATTCAATCACAGCTTAAAATACTTGTTTTAATGCCATTACGTCGAAGTTGAAAGATTATTACGATAGCTATAATGGTTGGTTTGGTTTTTACGATAATTGTTGAAAATTTAGAATTTTTCATGAATTTCTCTGAAAGTGAGCTTTCTGATGGTATCTTCAAATATGGTGTTTCAAATTCAATCAAGTATCTATAAATAAAATTCTTCTATCAACATTTTATCGAGCGGCTGAGGGGAGAGATAAAATCGCAAAAAAGACAATCGGTTATATTGAAGAAAGGGATAATAAGAATAATAATGATGATAACATCCAACTAAGTTGAAAATCTGACGAAATTAGTTAAAAAGAAATCTTATTCAATTTAATAAAATGAAATAAACAGTGAATTATACATGATAGAAGGAACTGATGTGCAAAATAACCATTCGAAAGCATATTGCCAATTTATTAGCAAAAATAACTTTACTATATGCAATACAAGAGCAATTTCCCACTTGTTTTTATGATACTTACGTAACAAATATCCATACCACGAATGGACTCTTCATCGAAGGCCTTCAAATTTTTGTTCGAAGAAATAGTAATATTAATACAATCCCCATCCTGTCCTTTCAATTTCTCGAGCGCATCATCGTAGATTGCATTGAGCAAAGTTGTATTCTTCATAACAAAGTTTCGGAGCTTCAATTCATTGAAAAACTTCAACTCCTTGATTGGATTTCCATTCATGATGAGTGTCTCAAGACTCGGTAAATTGTGACTCATAAAATTCTCAGGTATTGACGCAAACAAATTATTAGAAATGTCCAAACCCTTCAATATTGGAAGCGTAAAATTTGATATCATCGATAGATAGTTTCCACTGAGGTTTAAATATTTCAAACCACTGAACAATACCTCATCCGACTGAATTTCTTTAATTTTATTATTTTCGATACTCAAGGATTCGACAGATAAATTTCTTGGCAGAGATGTCAATTCGTTATATCCGACACGTAATTGTCGAATACTAGCTTCAATAATCGTTGAGTTGAGAGAATTGTGTTCCAAATTTAATAACTCTAGACCTTCAATATTGGAGAGATAATGTTCGAATGAAGTGAGAGAATTATTCGACAAATCCAGAGTCGACAATTTTGGAAAATTATTGGTGAAATTTTTTGGTAATTCTGTTATGATGTTATTCGATAAAGAGAGGCCGCTTAGAACTTGTGAAGGATTCGTCAGTGAGCCGTTGATGCTTCCAATTTTATTATGACTCAAATCAAGATATTCTAGGGATCTTACTTTCGCTAATGCCCCAATATCGATATTTTCTATATTATTCCATGACAAATCCAACTCCCTCAGCTTAGTAAATGATTCTAAAATCTCAGAATCCATTTTTGTAATATTATTATGCGACAGAACGAGGAATTGTAGACTGGTCAGGTATTTAATTCTCTCGAGTGATGTTTCATTAACAAAATTATTCGATAAAATTAATTTGTTCGGTGGGTCTTCATAGATGAATGACAAGAATTCCAAATCATCACTATTTTGATCGAGTTTTCCATCACAATTGTACTCAATTAAATTATCTGGAAGCAAAGAAATTCATAGAAACAGGAAATTCGTTCTGTTTTGAGTGATACAGTGGTGAAGGAGTAAAACGTCACATTCGATAGATTCTGTCTCATTGCAATAGATTGTCTCATTGTTTTTTTTATTTTGATAATCTGAAATGATTTCTAATTGCTATTCAGTTTTAGAAAGCCCTGGAGTCCCCAAAAATTATGATGGTATAATCGAAAAAATGTTGAAAAAAAAGCTGAACATTTTCAAAGAGCGTTTTTGAATAATTTTGGGAAATAAACCTAATAGAGAGGAAATTGCAAATTAATAATTTTATGGCACGCTGTGGAATAAGTCGAGTTTATCGCACGCTGCGCTTCGCGCAGCGTGCTTCAAACTCGACTTCTGCACGATGTGGCATAAAATAGTATAACCACTCGGGCATAAACTTCGTTTTCAACGAATGTGAATACAGACCTCGCCTTCGGCTCGGCCTGTAAACTTCACATTCGTCGAAAACGAAATTTGTGCCCTTGTACTCTAATGTACTATGATGTATCTAATGGCTGTTAGGTCGTCATTTGTCACAGTAGTTAATGGCTGTCAGATCGTTAGTTACCATGGTAAATTATCCATTCACTATTACCTCTCTATCAGACTTATTTTTTAATCTTTATTAAAAACGCTTTTTGAAAATATTCGGTTTTTTTTTCACTTTTTTTAATTGTACAATCATAATTTTTAGAGACTCCTGCGTGATTTAAAATCCAGGGAAATTGTGATATATTTTACATTATGAAAAAGGAAAAACAATCGAGATAACGTTCGAAAGATAATCCACCCGGGCCTTAACTTAAAAATTAACTTAAAAAAACTGCTGAGAGGTTTTATTCGAAATTTCATCAACCGCTAAAAAAGGTGGACATCACCTTTGACGTAGTACGTTTTACCGCTTCATTGTAGAAATAAGTCATCTCAATTCAAGAATCACAAAAATATCTGTATTTATTGATTTCTTCTCACGATACCTGATGTTGAACACTCGCATATTTTACACAGATCACAAATTGATAAATGTAACACACTGATAAAGAGAAAAACAGCAAAGACTTTTCGCATTTTGAACAATTAAAAATGTATGAAATTTGGAGTAGTAAACATCAAGAACCCCAAAATTCTGACACTTTTTCAACACTCGATGCACGAGAATTACCTCCAAAATGATAATGTTCCCTTTCTGAAAAGGTATCAACTCCTGATAACGGTTTATCGCTGCGTCACAGTACTGCAGATCGAAGCCTATAATCTGATGGCTATCTCTCCAACGAAACGCTTGTTCTCCTATGACTCAGATCCTCAAATAAAAAAAAATAAGGTCATAAAGAAAATTTATAAACTTAGAATATCCAAGTTTATTCAAGAACTGATTAGTTATCTCCATCAAGAATCATAACTTCTTATGTCGAAAGGTAAAAAAAGAAAAACAACTCTCTTACAATAGATTACAAAAGCAAATGATTGGCAATACCAGGATACAAAATATGGATACGATATTTAGAAAATATCCTTGTTGTGAAATAGTAGAACGTAATGGTCGTATTTAATATTTTTATTAATTATTCGTTTATGAAGCAAGTGAAATCACTTCTTCTCAAAATAATTTTCTTCATTCTACAGAAAAGATGGGAAGTATCGACTTGTTACGTTTTACAACTTCAATTCCAATTTCGAAAAGAAATTTACGATTTTTTGAAAAAATTGGTTATCGACGGTTGTTTAGTATTCTTCTTGGCTTTAGAGATTTCTGAGGTCTTCGGGGGACTCGGTTTCTTCTCCTTAGGAGGCTCAGGAGTTTCATCATCCTCAGAACAACTTTCTACGATCTGGACCTTCTTCGTGACCATGAAGCCATCCTCATCGACAAAATGTTTGTCCACGAATTTTCGAACTGTCCTCTTTCCTGTGATTCTCTGCACTGGTGGAGGCGATGGGGATTTCACTTTTTCTACTGGTTCCTCTGTTATTGAAGACCCAAAAGGATCGGGGTCCTCCTCGGGTTCAGAATCCTCACTCGAGTCAGAAACCACAACAATTCGTTTTCGTTTCTTTGAGTCATTATGAGAATCTTGACTTCTTTCACGTTTTTTGCCCCGAGTCGACTTCTTAGATTTCTCTGGTTTTGTAGAACCATTTGCTGACGATTTTTTCACTTCTGGAGGTGACGATTTCTTTTCAATTTTTTTGGTTTCCAAAGGTGATGATTTCTTCGGCTCACCGTTGGAGGAAGCCAATGGACTCTCAACAAGTTCTGGTGACTCGTCTTCAGCTATTGTTGATTTCTCGTTTTTGGACTGTTGAGAAGATTTTCCTTCAATAATTTCAACATCTACATCCATTGGACTTTCATCCTTGCTTTTTGAATTTTCTTGCGGCGGAGTTTTTGTAACGTCATATGGTTTGGTTCCACTTGAAGTTGATGGCGGTGATTTTTTCTGATTTTGAACTTTTCCGAAAAGATCACTGAATCCTTTCTGAGTGGACTGGACGGGTTTTTTGGAAATTGTTCCTTTCTTATCTCCAGATTTACCTGGAGGAGAGACCTTTTTAGCTTCAGTTTTATTCTCAGCTTTGTTGGTATCTTTCTGCTTCTCTTTTTCCTCATCTTTTTCTTTCTCTTCTGCCGGTTTAGAATTAGCAAATGCTTTCTTCAACGGATTTACTGGTTCTTTCACCTTGGCGGGAGGGGGAGGGGGTTGATTTTTCTCATCGAAGGGAGCTTGATATCGAAGTGAAGCCCCCCATCTCCTTGAAAATAGCTCCTCATCACTGAGGATCGTGCTGTCCTTGCACTTTATTGCTGAAAATTTGACGTCACCTTTTCCAGCATTCACCAGGGATTGAATATCAGGCAGAGTCTTCTGGAGACTGTATAAGTGCTGCGAGATAATCTTTTCGTACTTCTTGGTGGCTTCTTCAAGATCAGACGCTCTGACAACTTCCACTCGAATTCCTCCATCCTTTAGATTGCCGATTAGCATCACGGTGGCCACAATTCCATCATCCTTGTGCTTCTCCCAGTAATCTGCTAGGATTTCTTTCGCTGTGTTTACGTGGACTTCCAGCTCTTTGCTCAACCATTTATATGTCACCTATGAGAGGGAATAAATTTTGAGAATGACTGAATTTTTTGGGAGCAAATGAATCAAAATGAGATACGAAAGTAGATAGGTCAACTTATCTAGTTTCCAACATCTCAGAATTTAAAAGGAGACTATTATGAGTTTTAAGTCGTGGGATATTGGAGTGAGATTTCTCATGCATTGAAAATCGATTATATATGTCTAAAAACGAATAATTAGTGCTAAAAAATTAATTGTTCATTGTTCCTTTGCGACTCCTACTCAGGCAATTTCATTTTGTTTAATATGTAAATTTGCGCCATTCGTGTAAAATAGGTAGAAAAATTATCTTTTAAATATTAAAAATAACCGACGTCGGTGGCCGACTGGATTCGACGCAAGTCTAGTGTGCGAAAGGTTGTTAGTTGAATTCCCCGTGGAACCGAATTTTTCAACGGAAGGCTCCGGTGAGCGGGAGGTTGCTAATAGAGGAACGCCTGTACCGGCATGGGTTTTCTGTGGTTTCCCCATGCTACTTCTATGTTCTAATATGTCTAAAAACGAATAATTAATGCAAAAAATTGATTGTTCATTGTTCGTTTGCCGGCAAATGCTTAAAATGCTAAAAATAGTCCAGAGGTTTCATTTTTTTGCAAATTTTTGAAAAAATGTGTACAGTAACAATTACGAATTTTTTTTTTTAATTCGACTCCTACACAGCTAATTTCGTTTTGTTGAATATAACAATTTGCGCCATTCATGTAAAATAGGCAGAAAAATTATCCTTAAAATATTTTAAACATATTCACAATTCTTTCAAAACATGTTCATATTATGAATTCTTCCGGAAAACAAAAAATAACGAAATCAGCTGTGTAGGAGATGAATTTCAAAAATCTAATTCGGAATTGTTATTGCACACGTTTTTTCAAACATTTTGAAAAAAAGAAACCTCTGTAGCTCAAAACTTGGAGGCCCTGGACGATTTTTAACATTTTAAGTGACTGCAGGGCAAACGAACAATAAACAATTAATTTTTTTGCACTAATTATTCATTTTTAGACATATATAATCGATCTTTAATGTATGACAAATCTCATTACAATAGCACGCGACTGTTAAATCTCATAGTAGTCTCCCCGGAAGGTAAGGTTACAAGGGAGGGTCATGGCACGGAAGTTAGCAGATGCTCTTCAGCAGATGCATTAGTACGATCCTGGAGTCGGGCGCCTAATGTACTGTATCTAACTAGATACTTGTGGAATTATCTCGAGTTGTATCACACGTAGTAGGTTTGCGCAATACGGATACTTCTGTATAAATTACTATCATTGTTGGAACAATGAACATCAATTCAAATTCACTCTTGATACCTTCCTCAACCCTCCTTCAATTCGCCCCTCAAATTTCAAGCCCCCACCCCCGATACAAAGGTCAAAATCCCCACTCTAATCTCCCTAAAAAATGAACGTCAACTCAAATATACCCTCAATACTTTCCTCAACCTTCCTTCAATTGACCCCTCAAATTTCAAGCCCCCACCCCCGATACAAGGGTCGAAATCCCCACTCTTACCTCCCTAAAAAATGAACGTCAACTCAAATTCCCCTCTAATACCTTCTTCAACCCTCCTTCAATTCACCCCTCAAATTTCAAGCCTCCACCCCCGATACAAGGGTCGAAATCCCCACTCGAATTTGAGTTGACGTTCATTTTTTAAGGGGGATGAAGTAGGGATTTTGACTCTTGTATCGGGGGTGGAAACTTGAAATTTAAGAGGTGAATTGAAGAAGGGGTGCGGAAGGTATTGGATGAATTTGAGTTGACGTTCATTTTTTAAGGGGGATGAAGTGGAGATTTTGTCCCTTGTATCGGGGGTGGCAACTTGAAATTCAAGGGGTGAATTTTTCTTTTTTTATTTTTTATTAATGCATTAGAAATCCGTATAGGATTTATTAGCTTTAAAAAATAGTTCTTTACATTGCGGTTACGGTATCAATTGTTGATTTGTTACAGAGTATTTTGTGTTTTGACATTAAATTTTCAGGTTACAGTCTTTCAGGAACTTATCTATAGCTTTCATTACAGGTAGCTTCAATGAGCACAGTATACGGTTGATGTTAGGTGGTAATTCTATATGTTTTCGAATCTTTTGCATCATTCTAACCCTCTTGTTTTCGTACTTGGGGCAGTTCCACAAAATGTGGTTGAGATCCTCTTCGGGATGGCCACATGAGCATTTTGGGTCATTGACAATTTTTATTCTATGGAGAGAGCTTGCTGTGTTGATATGATTGGACCGGGCTCTGTTGACCCATACTATCGTTTCTCTGGACAATTTCCGAAACTTGGCAAACCACGGTTTCTTGTTACTTCTATAAAACAACTGGAAATATTCTTTGCCCTTGCCCCCTCCTTCTGCAAGTATCAGTTCTTTTGTAGAAGAGAGCTTTATCCTTAAATATTTGTTGAAAATCAGTGAATGGGATTTTATCAATGTCAAGTTCCGCGTTCGCGGTCGCGGCCTTTGCAGTGGAATCTGCTTGTTCATTGTGTTCTATTCCCATGTGTGCTGGAATCCAATAAAACTGGATGGTGCGATACGGATATAATTCAGTGGACTGATTGTATTTAGGTTTTATCTCTAGAATGTAGTTGTTGGTCTTTATATTTAATTGAACGTTTTGAAGGGCTTGAAGAGCGCTAAGACTGTCCGAAAATATGTGTACATCTTGATCGCCGTTGTTCAATGCAATGCTCATGGCATCGTTAATAGCTGAACATTCAGCTGTGTAAAGTGATGCATTTATACTCATACTTTTGGCTTCAGAGATATTCAATTGTGGACAGACTACACTGGAACCAACGGATTTACCGTCTTTCGTTTTGCTACCGTCCGTGAAAAAACAATAAGAGGAATCCCAGATTTCTGTAAGCACATCTGTCAGTATCTGAATATTTCCAGTTGTTTTAATTTGTTTCCCGATTTCCGTATTTATAGGTATTTCAAGCATGAGGTTGTCAAACTCATGATTGTGTATATTGAATGTATCTTTCTGTTCTAAGGCTTCTGTTCTCGCGTGAAGATTTCTGATGGTTTGTAATAGTTGTCGGTTCAATCTTTTGGCAATTTTATATTTACTAGTATGAAATTTATCTATAGTTCTGTACAGTCCCAAGTTACTATTGCTCATTGTTTTCACAATGAAGTTTTCGGCTAAGAAAGTGGTTCGATCTTTAATGGTCGTTAATTTAGATTCTGCAATTAGTATATTTGTTGGTGTACTCCTGCGATACCCTAGAGCCGCCCTTATAGCATCATATTGTATTTTTTCTAGTTTATGTGCCAAATGTTTTGAATATGGGTAATAAATGTAAAGACCGTAGTCTATCATTGCGCGGATGTAACTTTTATACAGGATTAATAATGTCTCTGGATCTGAGCCTCACCAAGTTCCTCTTAAAAATTTAATTATATTTATAGCTTTTTTGTTTTTCTTTCTACGTATTCTATGTGGGTTTTGAAGGTCATCTTATAGTCAAATATAATTCCCAGAAAACGACAGGATTCTATCGATTTGATTGTATGTTTGTTTACCTTTATACTTGTGTCCCCTGGAGCGATTTTTTTATTGTTGAAATGTATATATTGGGTCTTTAATGGGTTAATATCCAAGCCTATGTTTGAGAGATTACTATTTAGAGATGATATCGCTGTTTCCAATTGTAGTTTACATTTTTTCAAGTTTGTACCGGAACAATAGACAGCCGTATCATCTGCGAACTGTGATACCGCGACCCCATCAGGAATATTTCTAATAATTTCGTTGACATATATAGAGTACATTAGCGGGCTGAGTACTCCGCCTTGTGGGACTCCTTTGTATATGTGTCGAACGTCGTTCGAAAACACCGTGCTTATCCTTCTCTCATGAGTTAGAAATTTCACAAATCTAACAATATTGCTAGGGCATCCTATTGAAGCTAATTTTTTATCAAGAATATCACAAATGACATTGTCAAACGCTCCGGATACATCCAGGAAAGCAGCCAGAATGTGATGTCTTCTGGACAGTGCTTGACTTACACACAAGTTGAGATTAGCTAAGTTATTTGCGCACGAAGTTCCCTTCCTAAATCCTGTCTGTGAATTACTTAGTTTTTATTCTTTTTCCATCCACCAGTCCAATCTGTTTTTAATGATAGTTTCATATAGTTTACATATACATGACTTTAATGTGATTGGTCTAACGCTTGTACCATCGCCTTTTGGAATGAAGTGAACAAAGTGATCATTCCATGCCCTTGGATATTTTCCAGTAGAGAACATGTCATTGTATAAGTCCAGTAAGAGCAATTGATATTTTATTGGTAATTTCTTTAGAGTGAAGTAATCGACTCCGTCAATTCCTGGGGAGCTTTTGGCTTTACGAGACTTTAGCGCTGTGGTAAATTCGGTGTAATTGAACTGGTTGGATAAAAAAACGTTGTTCGGACATTCAGGCACTGTTTCGGGATCACTAGGAACATATGGTGGACTTATTTTATTCAGTGCCTTTTCTACTCTTTCAGCGTGCTGCAAGTGCTTCCTTGGATTCTCGACCTTCGTTTTAACCCACTTATTCTTTAAGATTCTAGATTTATTCCAAACATACCTGATATTTACCCTAGAATCCATTGATTCAGCAAATTTAATAAAATGTTCTTTCTTTTTACGTTTGAATAATTTTTTGGCGACAGCACATAGACGCTTATACTCCACTAGGTGATTCAAGTCTCGTGAAAAGGACAATTTTTTGTAAGCTACCCGTCTGAATCTTTTGATGCGATTGCATTCTTCGTCCCACCAACTGACCGGATTCCTTATTTTCTTATTTGTCTTCTTTTCGTTATTTTTATTCCTATTATAGTGTTTTTTCATTGGAGTATGCTTTTTAATCATATCAGTGATTGTCCCTATAAAATGATTATACTTATCGTTCATCGTTGCTTCTTCGAGTTGTTTAGCTAATACTGCATAGTAATTTTTATCAAGTTCTTCTGTTACTTTATTCCAATTTGTCTTTAGTGAGTAAAACTTGAAAGTTTTTTTTGGTAGTGGAATCTAGATACATTTACATTAACAATGAGTAGGAAATGATCCGATCCCCAGGGTTCGTCGTTTAACTTATAATTAATGATATCAGATATTTCCAAAGTTGACATTAACAGATCAATGTTTGATTTGTTGTGTGTTCGAGGATCTTTGTGTGATAGTGTATCTGTATTGTGAATTATTAAATCGTAGTTTTCAATTGCTTTATATAATCTTGTACCATTGGTATCATAATGATGACAATTCCATACAGTATTGTGTGCATTGAAATCGCCAAATATCAGAGTGTTTTGATCGATTTCGATGTTTGACATTAGGCTTTGCCATTCTAATTCGGTAAGAGTGAACCCCGGGGGCCTATAGCAAATTAGTAACGATACCTCAGGGTGAATATTGGTTAATTTCAATCCACACATTTCGACTCTTGGGTCTGGTATTATCAAGTTTTCTATTTCTATATAAGCAATACTTTTTTTAATGAATATGATGATACCTCCACCTTTAGAATTCTCTGTATCCTTTCGAAAGGTGTTATATCCTGGGTCCTGAAATTGATCTATTGGACTTGTCGAGATGTTTAATCTTGATTCTAAGCACACTAAGATATCTATTCCTTTCAAAATAGTAGACAACTCTTCCCTTATTCTTCTGACACTTCGTGCATTCCATAATACAATTTTCAGGTTTTGATTATGCATACTCTGTTTCTCTTTTTCGTCCATCATTTTTATTTTGTTACACATATAGTTTTTTTTGCCCTTGATACCCGATTGTAGAAGTCATGTTGCCTGGTTGTTGACTGGCACTGCGTTGCAGGTGTTTAGTTTTGTGAGTTCGTGGAAGAGGCCGTTATATAGCCATCTTCGTCAGGGTCGGACACTTTTTCCAGTTTATTTGCCAGCTGAGTGATTCGGCCTTTAAACTGTTTATCGTCAATATACACGATGAGTATTCTCAGTGTTGTCGCCAGATCTGAGGGATCTTTTTTCCACTTCTCAGCTAGTTTCCGGGCATCTTTAATTTCGTAGGATTCGTCGACAAGCTGGATGAACTGTTCGTAGGTCAATGCATGATCATCTGAGTTTTTTTCCAATTCTCTTGCCAGACGGGGAGAGAAAATCCTCATGTTTTCGGAGGTTAGAGCGCGACCTTTGGGTGTCTTAGTCTTTTTCTTCTTTTTCAGTTGCTATTTCGGACGCTGAAAGTCGTCGTTATCATTGCTTTGATCGTCCGAGAGTATGCTTTTGTTTACTTCTTCTGGTGTCTCGGGTAAGGCTCGCTTTGCATGGTTGACAGTCTCTGTGTCCATGAGCTCTAGTGTTGTGGGATTACCCGGTGGGATTGTCTCGGTGTTTTTCCCAGTCGTTATTTGTCCCTCGGATTGGCCTTGATTGTTGTTCTGTTGTGGTGTTTCGTTTTCGATAACTATCGCTGCCGGATTTATAGCGAGAGAAGGAGCGAGAACACGTTGTCGTGCGAGTGCGAGCCTGTGTGCAGCGCTCGTTTTCCTTGCTTGTAAAGAGTCTTGGGGACAATTTTTAGCTATGTGCCCGGCTTTGTTGCATTTATAGCAGTTGGTATTATCTACAGTGGATGTAATTGTGTATAATTTGTCCTGATACATGATGTCGTAAGATTCATGAAGGAGACGAATGTCGTCTTCCTTTATGATGAACTGTCTACTCGCGGTAGCTACCTTATATCCTTCTCTGTCTAGAGTTAAATACATTGTCGAGATCTTCGTGACTGGCTCAATCTTATTCTTTCGTAGAACCTCCTCTATTACGTAGTTTGGAATTTTTGGGCTCACGTTTGATAGGATGACTTTCCGGGTTTTGGCCTTTTCAGGGATGATGTTCAGCTTGTTGTCGCCTATCATAATGTTGGCGTCAGGTGCAGTGATTTTGTCCACTAGCTCTGGGGTAGAAACGTAGATTGCTACTTTATTTCCTATGAGCCTTTCGACTCCCTTCACATGTTCTCGTCCAATGGAGTCCCCGATAGCATAGACATAGTCTTTGTATGGTGTGCCTTGGATTGCTGAGATTATAATTCCTTGTGCTTCGGTGGGAATAAATTCCTGGTCTTGCTGGGCGACTTGTGCGAAGGAACGAGGGGTCTGGGCAGACCTCGTTTGAGAGTTCTGGGTATTTTGTGTACTTGGGGAACTGATTTCAAACACTCCACTAGTCATCATGTCACTTAGAGAACAATTAGTGAATATGGAAAAACCTTGAAAGTGGCCCAAATGGGCGAAATTCTGTACTTAATTCACTGCTGTGTCACTATCGCGTGGAACTGATCACACCAGGGACCCTCCGAGGAGCGAAACCAAAACACTTCTTACCTCTACGGAGGTTGAGTCGGAACTCCGAGGGTTGAAGAAGGTATTAGGGGGGAATTTGGGTTGACGTTCGTTTTTTAGGGAGGCAAGAGGGGATTTAAACCCTTGTATCGGGAGTGGGGGCTTGAAATTTGAGGGGTGAATTGAAGGAGGGTTGAGGAAGATTTTGAGGGTGAATTTGAATTAACGTTCATTTTTTAGGGAGGTTAGTGGGGATTTTGACTCTTGTATCGGGGGTGGGGGCTTGAAATATGAGGGGTGAATTGAAGGAGGGTTGAGGAAGGTACCAAAAGTAAATTTGAATTGACGTTCATTATTCCAACAATGATAGTAATGTATACAGAAGTATCCGTATTGCGCAAACCTACTACGTGTGATACAACTCGAGATAATTCCACAAGTATCCAGTTAGATACAGTACGTTGGGCGCCCAACTCCAGGGCCGTATCAATGCATCTGCTGAAGAGCATCTGCTAACTTCCGTGCCATGGGACGGTCATAAGGGTCACAAAAAAGGATTCGCTAAGGTTACAAGGGTGACATTGCCTTGGTTGAATGCGTTTTTGACTGAAAAATTTTTTGTTGTTCATTTTGTTGACTGAATTTTTGCGATTATTGTTGCAATATTTCAGAATAAAAATTCAGTCAAAAAATCTTCAACAAAAAATTTTTCATTAACTTCCCGACCCGAAGGGAGGAACAATCCCTCGGTCCCTTCGGGTCGGGAAGTTATTGTAACGACCCCGCAAATGAAATGTTGAATTTCGATGATTTGTCCACGTTTCGTGACCTCTAGAGTCATCCTGAAACGTTTCTGAAGAAATGTATGTGTGTGTGTATGTGTATGTGCGTGCGTAGGACCCTATGTGAGTGAAATTTTATCCAACGATTTCTCCGGAACGAACGAACCGATTGAACTTTTTTTTTTTTGATCGCTGTGTCTTCATGTAACTTAGAACTGATTAGATTATGGAAATGATTGCCTCAGTGGTTTTCCAGTTATCTGCATAAAACATATGAGAAAATGTCAAACAACGTTACTTTTACTGAAATTCTACGATTTCATCTGAAATAACGATGGAATTTGAATCGATTTCGTGTAATCGCTGCGTCATCATGTATCTTGAGTGTAATTGGATTTTGAACGAAGTCTCCTCAGTGGTTTTTTAGTTATTTCAATAAAACTTTCGAATTTTGCAATTTGAAAAAAAGGGAAAATTGGAGAAAAGGTTGGAGAATTTTGGAGTGAGTCAACTTCGAAGTAGAAAACTTTTCAAGTAGATGAACTTTGGAGTTGAGAAAATTTTGAAGTGGATTTAACTTTTGATGGGATAATTGGGAAATTTTGAGTGGGTTGCCTTCAGAATTGAAAAATTTTGAAGTGAGGACATTCTTATTTTTTTTAATAGAATTGCAACGGATTCATTCGGAAGCATACTACCAATGGAATTGGCAGAAATGAAGGAATGTCAAGACTTATAACGCGTAAAGTAACGGTCACATGCCTTCTGTCGAATAGGCTCGGCCCCCTGCTTGTTTTTCTAATGAACAGAAAAAAAGGAATCGCTCGGGAAGTTATTGGTTCGACCCATAATGGGTCACGCCCAATTCCACCAATTCCTACCGGTCAGACTCCAACGAGGGAGCGAGCGAAGCGAGCGACCGGGCCTGATTTTTAAAATTGAGTTTTGTTGTTTTAAGATTGTAAATATAATCATTGATTTCAAATGTGAGAATGTGAGTGCATGAATTGATGTCTCAAGTGCAAAAGAAGCTTCATGAAAATGTTCGTATCTTGAAAAATGAGGATTGAAGTTAATATCCCAAAAACTAATAGAGAGATAAATTCTTAATTTTTTCCGTATTTCTGAGGAAAAATGGTACGAAAAACACATGTCAAATAGCGGTGCCAAAGGAATCGTAATCATTCCCTCTTCAATATCAACCGATTCCTACAAAACTAATCTTACCGCCAAATAAATCGACTGAACTTTGGAACAGATGTGTTTTCAGTAGATATCTCCGAATGCTGGGAACGGAGAATAGCTTCACAGAAACACACAAGGTTTTATAAAATGGACAGTAGCTCTCCTAAATTCTTATATATCTTTCAAAAATAATGTCTGATCTGCAGGGGACTATTCTTTCTGCCGTTCGTGAATGGCTTGCAAAATATTTGGAGGTTAATTAAGAATATACTCACAAATTTATCATCATCATGAATATATCCAGCCAATGTTTGCCGATAGACTTCCATTGGAGCTTTTACCATGTTGACAATCAAATTAGATGTTGATAAAAAATTATTTGTGCCTCAACAGAAAAGTTATTCCCTTTGGATTATTCCAATCGATTCATACAATAAATTCCTTTCTGTTCCCGAAGCACATGAATTCACTTATTATCAAATTAATTCCCTTCACGATGTTTATTTATTTAAATATTGTGACGAATTATCTAGTGAGTACATTAGCAATTATTCAAAATAGATATAAATACCATAAGAAATATCTCTGAGAGAAAATTTGCTTATGTGGTGGAGAGAAATGGCGGTAAAATTGTCTTACCCAATCCAAAAGTCCCGGTGAGTTCTCATGACGCGATGACATTTTCGACTTGAAATCATAGACATATAATACCTAGACCGTGCATGCGGTGGGGGAAGCTGTACAGGTTTAGGCAGAGAGAGATGCACTCGGTCCCTACCTATCTTTGTTCAGCAGTGCTGAGAGTGGGAAGAGAGCAGCCGCAGGGTGGGAGTAAAAATTCAACTGCGTAGGGGAAACACGGAGAAACGTTTTCTCATCGTTTAATCGCAAATAAAAATTTTTTTTCGTCATTAGAATTCGTGATATTTGAAAAAATTGTAAAAATATTCAAATGGTGAATTTTTGTTGTGTGTGTGGTGTTTATTTCCATCAATCGAAGAGTTTCAAATTTCCATTGGGTCTCTCCTTAAGCTCTTATCAAATTGCTTTCCGCAAGGGATTTTTGGATGGGACACAAAATTCCAAAGGGGGCCAAAATCCCAAACCGGTAATGAGGGAGGGGGAATGCTGAAGTAAGAAGAGGTGCCATCTAACGATCGGAGTGAAATATAGTATCGCCTTGTTCCTGCAGATGGCGGATGGAATATTAAAAGTATGTTGAAATCAAAGATTTTCTTCGTTTTGAAGCCGTCGAAAATCACGACACGATGAGAATACTACCGGGAGCGCCCGGTATTTTTTTTTTTTCAAAGGAAATATTGATCGAAGAGCAAATTCATTACAACAATAATATTCCGTGGCTATCGAACGCAATCGGAACAATTTTCATTAAAAAGAAATGTTTTGCAACAGCAGCAAGAGTTTATCGGGCGAGAACGGCTACAATTGTTTTCTTTGAAAATAATAGATTTTCAACAAATTTTTGACAACATTTATACATGCAGTCTACCGGGTGGAACCGGTACTTTTTTCCCGAGGGAATATTATTTTTCCAACAATCTTTGACAACAATAATATACGCAGTCTACCGGGCGAAACCGGTACAGTTTTATTTTAGAAAGATATCTTTTTTTTGCGTCGAAAGCTTCAATAAAAATGTAAGCCACAGTCTACCGGGTGAAATCGATACAGTTTTATTTTTAAAAAATATATTTTTTTTTGCAACAAATGCTATCATAAGAATGAAACCAACAATCTACCAGGTGGAACCGGTACGGTTTTCTGCCAAGGAAACGATAAATTTCCAACAACAATGATATAGACAGTCTACCGGATGAAACCGGTACAATTTTCTGCTGCGGAACCATTAGGTTTTCTAAAAATTTTCAACAACAATAATATAAGCAGTCTATCGGGCAGAACCGGTACGGTTTTATTTAAAAAAAAAATCTTTTTTTGCAACAAATGCTTTCATAAGAATGAAAGCCACAGTCTACCGGGCGGAACCGGTACAGTTTTATTTTTTTAAAATATATTTTTTTTTGCAACAAATACTGTCATGAGAATGAAACCAACAATCTACCGGGTGGAACCGGTACGGTTTTCTGCCAAGGAAACTATAAATTTTCAACAACAATAATATAGACAGTCTACCGGGTGGAACCGGTACAGTTTTCTGTCAAGGAAACCATAAGTTTTCAACAACAATGATATAGTCAGTCTACCTGACGTGACCGGCACGGTTTTATTTTAGAAAAATAGTTTTTTTTATGCAAACAAATGCTTTCATGCACGGAGAAAAAAATACATCGTAATTTTGTGAGAATCCTTCCAAAAATTAGTGTGCTGTTCACCAACGCTGGGACATAACAGGGAGTCATCGGAGAATTCGCATGTGGCACACTAATTTTTACGGGAATCCCCCGAAAAAGTGGCCGGAGTCCCACCAAAAATTAGGGTGCTACTTATGAATTTTTCGACGACCCCATGTTATGTCCCGGCGTTGGGGGACAGCACACTAATTTTTGGGAGATTTTTTTCTCAGTGTGTAAATGAAAGCCACAGTCTACCGGGTGAAACCGGTACAATTTTCTGCTGGGGAAACATTATTTTTTCTAAAAAATTTCAACAACAACAATATAGGCAGTCTATCGGGCAGAACCGGTACGGTTTTATTATAAAAAAAAATCTTTTTTTGCAACAAATGTTTTCATAAGAATGAAAGCCACAGTCTACCGAGTGAAACCGGTATGGTTTTCTGCCAAAAGAACCCTAAATTTTTAACAACCATAATATACAGACATATACCCGACTGCCCGATAGACTGTCTACCGGGCGGAACCCGTACAGTTTTATTTTTTTTTTATATTTTTTTTTTGCAACAAATGCTGTCATAATAATGAAATCAATAGTCTACCGGGTGGAACCGGTACGGTTTTCTGCCAAGGAAACCATAAATTTTCAACAACAATAATATAGATAGTCTACCGCGCGGAACCGGTACAGTTTTTTTTTTAAGATATATTTTTTTTGCAACAAATGCTGTCATAAGTATTAAACCAACAATCTACCGGGTGAAACCGGTACAATTTTCTGCTGGGGAAACATTTTTTTTTCTAAAAATTTTCAACAACAATAATATAGCAGTCTACCAGGTGGAACCGGTACAGTTTTATTTTAGAAGAATATCTTTTTTTTGCAACAAATACTTTCATAAAAATGAAAGCCACAGTCTACCGGGTGGAACCGGTACCGTTTAATTAAAAAAAAAAATCTTTTTTTGCAGCAAATGCTGTCATAAGAATAAAACCACTGTCTACCGGGTGGAACCGGTGCAATTTAACCTGAAAAGGTTATTATTTTGTAAATGAATTTATGCTAAAAATAACATCCGCAGTCCACTGGACGAGAACCGGTCCGGATTTCCCTTTGAAAAACAAACTTTTTATTGCAATAAATGCCCCACTAAAGATATAAACCAGAGTCCATCGAGTGATACCGGTGCAATTTTTCGAACGGAAATACTTTTCCAAAAAAAATTTAACAATATTATAGGCTGTCTACCGGGCGGGGACGGTACAGTTTTGTCTTGAAATAATATTGTTTTTGCAACAAATATCATGGTCCTGCAGATATATGGGGCATTCCATGTCAACTCGTGAGGTTTTAAACCTCATGGTGGTTTATGGTTTAAAGGTTTTAAACCTCAACTTCGAACGCAAGTTCTGGGTTCTGGTGATGAGTTACATGGAAAATTGTAGGGACAAAAAATGTGTTTTTGGATAAAGGAATGGAAAAAAAACGATTTCTTAATTACATGTTATTTGGACACCTTTAGAGCATAAAAACCGTAATTTTGATAATATGAACTACAGATTAAGTAAATCATCCAGTGAACTGATTTAAAAAAATTATAACAGTGTTGGCACGCATTTTTACCAGAGTGTCAACGAACATTGAATTCCAGACACTTACTCAGTGAGTTATGGTCGAGAAGGAATTGGGTTTGACTTATGATGATTGAAATATTATTCAGTGAGGCGAGCATAGCAATTAGCACATGAGCAAGTCATTTAATGCAATCTGCAAAATTAAGAGCTGATAGATTGGGTAATATTATTTTTAGTAGTCGCATTGCTTTTTGCAATGAGAATTATTATGAACAATTACTTGAAAAAACAAACATTGAAATTGACAGGAAAAAGGGCATAATAAAAAGGGCCTCAACATGCGGCCGGGGTGGCGCTAGTTTTAAAAAAGACGAAGGCAATAAAATAGAAAAATATTTCATCGTTGACGGCAGAAATTTTGCATAAATACCTCTAGATATTAACGATTGAAGTCCAATACGTCACCAACGTTGGAAGTTTACAGGAATAATGCCCTACGTTTTTCTTGGTTTGGCACACTTAGGGATTTTATTTAAACTAATTGCTGTGAAGAAACGCCGAGAGTAATGGCTGCTTTGCACTTCGGAACTTTGCCTATTTCGTCTCCCTTGGGTAAATAGCAATAATGGAGAATGGCAGTTGTAAAATTTATATTTTGCCGGCGCTTTGGCGGAAGCCCTAAAGTTGGATAACTACTAGTAGTCCAGTATGTACGCTGGCTACGTGTGCAATACTCCATCTGGTCTACAAATTCCCACATGAAATCCATTATTCCAAGACCAATCCCAGTTTAGTATTTGAAATCCACAATTATCTTGGCTTGCAATTGGTTGGAAACTAATGATGAACAACGCCATCCACATTTCATCATGAGTGGAGCTGATTCACCACATGATGGTTCTCTTAAAACTACATAAATGTTGGCATTCTAGGGGTAAACGAGGAAATCCCGGCAATGAATGATCGAGCGAATTTTTGGAAAGCGGCGTCAGTTTTTTCCATTTATTCACGAAGCCAACTTATAGAGTAACTTAAATAGACCTTTCAATTTTTAAAATTTTAATACGCCTCCGATTTGTCTTGCTTTCGGTTTTTTAAATCAAAGTTTTTAGTGCAAAAAAGCTTTAGTATCTCATTCGTTCTATGCTGTTAATACCGTGGAAACATGTCTACCGTGTATATTATTCCTCCAGAAAGTGAAGATGAAGAGGAATTGCATGAGGAAAATGAAGAGAACAGTTCAAAAAAAAAGTGCAAGAAGCATTCCCACAATAGGTATATCGTGGAAACAAATCGCTACAATTGGCATGCAACAAATAAAGATGGAAGAGAGTAAGTTTCATTTTTCGATTTTCGTGTTGCCTCCGGACGAGACGATAAGAATATTGATACTCGTGTTTTAATATTGTTGGTTAAATTTTTTTTTTTCGGTTGAAACAGATTCGTTCAGTGTGTGAACTCGAAATGTCACAGAAAGGGGAAAATTTCCGCTGATAAGGGAACATTTCAGCTCACTCAAGAGCACATGCGAACCTGCACTCCAAATCCTCATGCCGTGGAGATAGAAGAATTCAAGAAGGAATTCAAAGAAGGACTTCGTAAAAATCCTACGCAATCTGGCAAGAAGCTTTATAATGAGCTACGGAACAGCGGAAGGTAAAATTCGCTAGTAATTTATTGATTATTTAGTATTTCGCAGTCCAAAATCAGTAGATTTGGAAAGGACCGTTCTGGCCCGGTTAACCGACGCGAGGAGAATAAGTCCGGGTTGTGTCGGACGTACACGGCACATTAAAATCCATGATACATTTTCAAAATAGTCGTTCATTATTATTAATTGAAGAACGAGAAGATGAACGAGGTTATTCATCATGGAGATGCTTTTTAATGATTTTTTTATATCTTAAATACTTCTCCCTTAAGTTTTCTTCTCGATTTGAGTGACATCTTAAAAATACTGATGTTATTCTCTCTCGAGGGATGTTTTTCAAGATACGCAATAGCGTATCAGCCAAAGAAATTATGATAAGCATTTGAAAACAATAGTTAAATTCTACCGGGGACGACTGGCACAATAATCTCTCGGGGAAATCTCGTTTTTGTATTAAAAGCTATTAATAAAAGTGAAAAAGTCAAAGTCTAGTGGGTTCATCCGGTACAATTTTCTTCTAAGAGAATTTCCTTTTTTTTGCAAACATTCATAATGGAAAAAAACCCTCTGGAGTGGATAAATTTTGTTATAGTCATTGTTAAAAAATTTTGATGATAGCATTACATTCTACCGGGCGCATTCGGTGCATTTTTAATATGACAATTTTTTTTGTTGCTAAAAGATATAGAAGCCCGAATCTACCAGGTACACCCGGTAAAATATTCTGCCCCAGTAATATTATTTTGGAAACAAACATCTTTATGGAACCCAAAATAATGTGTGTACCGGATATAATCAGTACAATTTTCTTATCAGGGAATATTGTTTCGCCAACAAATTTTTGACAACAATAATATCCTCAATCCATGGGGAACAACTGGTACAATTTTCTTTAAAAAATATTATCGTTGGAACAGATATCTTCAAAAAAACAAAGCTTTAATCCTAGTGGCTACATCCCGTGAGATTTTCCCCAGAAGAATATTGATTTAGGAACAAACATTTAAAAAAACGGAAGCCAGAGTGAACCGGTCGCACCAGATACAATTTTCATTTGAAAAATTATAGATTTTGGAACCAACATTGCAATGAAAATAAAAGCGTGAGTCTACCGGTCGCAACCGGTACTTTGTCATTTGTGAAAAATTTTCTTATTGTACCCATTTTGTGATCATGAAAGTATTGATCTGTTTACCGAGCGCATCCAGTACAATTTCCTCCCAAACAACATATTTCTTGCAGCAAATATCGCGATAAAAATAAAAGCAAGGGTCAACCGGGCGCAAACGCCACCCTTTCCTTTTTTGAACATATTGTAATGTAATGAATTTGTTGGAATGAATTTGTCATGATAAAATTCATCTCAGTCTGTCGAGCGCAGCCGGTATAAATTACTCTCAATAAAAGAAGTTTTTTACATAAAAGATGTCAATAAAAATAAAAACCAGAGCCTGCCAGGTACAAACGATACACTTACATTTTTTAAAAGATTGCTATTGTAAGAAACTTGTGATGATAAAGTTTCAAATTTTCTTCTTGCAACAAACCTCTTGATAAAAAAATATTTCATAGGGTACCGGGCGCATCCGGTACAATGTTCTTTGGAAATACCTTGGTTTTGAAAAAAACATTTCAATGAACACTGAATACAGAGTTCGCCGGGCACGACTGGTTCAATTTTCATTTCAAAAAATGTCATTGTTGTTACAAACTTTTGATAACACAGTTAAACAGAGTATACCGGGCACAACCGGTAGAACTTCCTCTGAAGAAAAATTATACATAGCTTTTAAAAATTCGATAATAATACTAAGCAGAGTCTACGGCTCACACTCAATAACTTTTTGGTCGATCTGAAAGACACTGGAAGTCTACCGGTGCAATTGCCTCTCAACGTTTTTTTTCCACTAATAAACATTCGATAACAATAATTATAGTCTACCGGACATGCCCGGCAGGATTTTCTCTCGAGAAGATTTATTTTGCAGCAAACTCAACTGTGTCAATCTATGCACACGGTCCTGTTTAAATCATAGATTGGTCGTTTTTTTTAGATATCCCAAGGAGATGAGGCTCGCTTACGGCAAAAAGTTGAAGAAGATGGCAACGCGAGCGAAAAGAACGAGTAACCCAGTGATGTCAAAAGATCTGAAAGATATGTACGACAAACTGCAATCGTCGAAGGGCGAGAAGATGCTCCATTATGAATCTGGAAAACCGGAGAGATTGAGCGTACATCTCATTGAGAATCCCAGCAACGAAGATGGATCAACGCCCCATTCGTTGCTATTCATCGACTTGGATCACATCCACGACGTGGAGAAGCTGGCTTCACCTCGCACCCTTGAAGGTTACTGCGATTCCACCTTTGACGCAGTGCCTAAAAGGGTGATGGTGAATAAAGTGAAGGGGTATCAGCTTTTAGTATTCCAGGTGAATCGTAGGAATAATGCAACGGCCATTTTTTACGCATTAATAGAACGGAAAAGGACTGAGGACTACGAAACATTGTTCAGATACGTTTTTGATACTTTGGCTCCAGGGATTAAAGAGAAACTGATTATAGTCCACATGGATTTCGAACTTGCAGAAGCCAATGCCCTCAGAACTGTCATCCCTCACGTGCAAATTGTTCCCTGTCTTTTCCATTTTACCCAAACCTTGTGGAGGGCTGCGAGTAAAAGAGGGGCTTTATTTAAAAAAAGTAGAAATGGGAAACCGGTCAAATTGACAGATCAGCAGCAGAAGGTCTCCAAAAAAATTGACGATTTTATTCGGTATCTCGGAAAGTTCCCTTTCCTTCCAGCGAATAAAATCGATGCCTCTTTGCTGAAGACTTTCACTGACGATCTGTCAAAAGAAGCGACGGAAAAATCTAAAAGGTTTGTCAAGTATTTTGAATCCCAATGGATGAAGTCCTGTAAGCCAGACGTTTGGTCCATATTCGGTCAAGTTCATAGGACGAATAACTTAGCAGAAACGTTTAATCGCGATATCAACGCTTTATTCACTCGCAATCCAATGCCTTAGGATTTCGTGAAATATTTAGTTGAGATGCATCAGACAGTTATCCGAGAATACCAAGGGCAATACTTGCCAAAAAAGTATGACAGAATGAGGGAGAAGGCTCTGAAGGATTTTATTGATGATTACGACCTGGAGAGACAGACACCAGTCGATTTTATCATTAGCCTCATGAAATACGATAGAGACAACGATTCGAAAGCAATAGAGGAAATCCTTAAAGACCTTCGAGCCCAGAAAGAAGGAGATGAAGAGAAAGTAGAGGAGAGCAGCAAAGAGGAGGAGGAAACATCTCAGGACCAGGGGGAAGTGAACGATTTAAGAGATGACGTCGATGAAACAAGCGTAACGACGTTTTTTGCGACATTCAATCCTGATGCATCATTCTTTTACTTGATTATATAGAATATACACACTCAATCAATATATTTCGAAAGAAAACTGTACAGGTTGCGCCCGGTATACTTTCACCAATTTAATTATGAATAGTTTGTTGCAGAAATAATATTTGCTAGGAAGAAAATTCAACCGGGTTCGCCCGGTAAACTCTATAGTTTATATTTCTTCCTAGATATTCGTTGCAATGACAATATTTTTCGGGGAGAAAATTGTACCGGATGCGCCCGCTAGAGTCACCATACCATTTTTTGTAAAATGTTGATTGTCAAAAGTATCTTTCTTCAAAAGAAGTTCGTGCCGGGGTCGCCCGGTAAACTGTGGACGTTATGGTTGTTTAAAACCTATTGCAAAAGTTATTTTTCCTGTAGCTTGTGCTTTGTAGTTTGATTAAGATGCTGGTTGCAAAATCAATATTCATGCAAAAAGAAATTGCACCGGGTGCGCCCGGTAAACGGTGGACGTTATGGTAGTTTGAAATTTATTGCAAAAGTTAATTTTCCTGCAAATGAAATTGTTACGTCCAAACACTAGTAGCTTGTACTGTGTAGTTTTATTAAGATGCTGGTTGCAAAATCAAGATTCATGCAAAAAGAAATTGTACCGGGAACGCCCGGTAGTATCTGTTTTTTAAAAATTACAATATTTGTTGCACCAACATTTTGCTATAAGCAAGTTAAAATGTTTGGGGCAGATAGACAGACTCCAGATATAATTGAACGATCAAACGAGCCCGCCGAAGGCGGGCGAAGTTCGATCGAAATTATACGAAGCGTCTCGTTCGAAGATGATAGTTAACATGTAGTACTGTCAAGTGCTCGGCCAACTACACAACATTTAGAGTTTTTTTTTTTTTTTTTTTTTAAATGAGAACTTTCTCCCGCGCGTAGGCGCCCTCTTACGTGCGTTCCTCTGGTGTCCTCATATATTTAGCGTTGTTGTTATCACAATCTGTTCGAAGATGATTTGGGTATCGGGAATTTTTTAGTTGAATAAGATTTTTGGGTGGGTAATGATCATCTTCGAACGAGACGCTTCGTATAATTTCGATCGAACTTCGCCCGCCTTCGGCGGGCTCGTTTGATCGTTCAATTATACTATGCGTCTCGTTCTCGATGATAGTTAACATGTAGATTTTTAGCGTTTGTGATAACTGAATACATATTTTATTTAATGAAATTTTGACAAGATATATATATATATATAGATATATTTTATTTTATTATTATTATTTTTTTTTTTTTAATTTATTTCTTGGGAAGTACTGCTTTTGCAAAATTGTCTTCCGATCTTTCAATAGGTCTGTTATAAAAATGAGCGAACATTTGTGATCCCTCCGACCAACCTGCCCTTTGAATTATTGTATTAATGTCGATACCCCTATCATATGCTGCAGAAATAGCAGCATGCTTGGTACTGTAAGCACTGAACTCTTTTGTATTAATGCCTGCCTTTCCTAATAGTGATTTTATCCAGTGACCCAAGGTTTGTGGACATACTGGATGGTAAGGGCGAGTAGTTGAAATAAATAATTTCTTATTGTCTCCTCTAATATCTTTGGTTATTTTCAAACAATGCAAAATGGTTGAAGCTACACAAACTTTTTTCCTTTGATTTAATAAAGGGAGACTTAAGACAGGTTGAGCTTTTCCTGGTCTTGAATTTTTAATTAAATCCGGAATTTTTATTCTGACTCTTGTAGGGGTTATTTCTATATTGTCGATATGAATAAATGAAAATGTTTGGAGACGATGTGCTGTCGCAAGTGCTAACAATGTAATTGTGATCTCCGAAAGCTCTTTTAGTGTTAAATCTTCTTTATCTTTTGAGTCTTCGATGAAGGAGAGGACTTTTTCAGTATCCCAAGTAGTGGAGTATTTGGCTTTTGGGGGTCGTATTTTAGAAATTCCACGAAAGAACCGAGATAATAATTTATCGTTTGATAAGTCATTTTTTGATATTAGGGAAATAGCGGATCTTGATGAATTCAAAGTCCCGTAAGATGCACCTTCGTTATATCTTAGTGTCAAGAATTTTATCACTTCTGTTGCCTTTGGGTCAAATAAATTAATATTTTCTTCTTTGGTGAATTCTTTCCATCTTTTTAATGGTCCTTCATACTGTTTTCTAGTCGATTCCGTAATAGAATTAAGCATTATGTCGAGTGAATCTGGTAGAATACCCTCATTCAGGTACGATTGTTCGATAATTTCCCTGCCACTAGTGATAGTTTGTGAGCCAGTGGGTGAATCTTCTGCCTGCAAGGAGATAGTAATAAATCGGGTGCAGGATCAAAGCGAAGGGGTGGGGAACATAGTAGAGATTGGAATAGTGGGTACCAGGATTGTGTGGGCCAGTAGGGAACCACAATTACCCCAGTAGCTTGGTCATTAATAATTTTTCGTAGAGTTGGTGAGATCAGTGCGAAAGGGGGAAAGCCATAGAATTTTTCACTTTTCCACGGAATTGTAAATGAGTCTATTGTTTCTGCCCCCGGGTCTGGGTAACGAGAACAATATCTTTGACATTTTTTGTTTATTCGAGATGCAAATAAATCAATACTGAAGGGACCTAATTTTTTAAAAATTATTTTGAAAGCTGTTTGGGACAATTCCCATTCAGTATCCAGATTACTGACTCGTGATGCTGTGTCTGCCTGTGTATTTTCTTTTGAGGGGATATAGCTGGCAACTATCCAAATTTTCCTACTTTCGCACCATTGCCAGATTTTTCGGGCTAGTTCACTCAGATGAGGGAATTGAATGCCTCCAGCTCTATTGATATAGGCTATTGCCGTCGTATTGTCAATACGCAATAGGATTTCACATTCAGAACTCTCGGAAGCAAAACATTTTAATCCAAAGAAGGCGGCTAGTAGTTCTAAATAATTTATGTGTGATTTCTGGTCTTTACAGTCCCAAAAACCCTGTGTTATTATACCTCCACATTCAGCTCCCCATCCAGTTCTAGATGCATCGGAACTGATGACTAATTGATACTGTTGAGTTTTTATGGACTGAATGCCAATGATTATGTTCTTTTTCCACCATGAAATGTCTTCTATTGAAGCATCACTAATTTTCATGAAACCCTCAAAATCATCATCATTTTTGAGTAGAGCGAGCCACTTCTCTCTTTCTAGTCTTTTACAATAAGTTTTCCCATACTCGACCCCTGGGCAACAGGAGATTAATGTTCCTAATAAATGGGCAACTTCACGAATTTTATATAATTTTTTAGATTCATAGGTATCTAGTAATCGTATTATCTTAGTTTTTTTTTTCTCTTTTGTAATTTCGATTTGTATTTCTCAGTATTTATTATAAAACCTAGATATTTTTGTCTCTTGCTAGGTGTACAAGAGCTTTTTTGATAATTTATCAGGAAACCCAACTCTTCTAAGACTTTAATAGTCTGTTGCATATGATTTTGACAAGATTCATAAGTCTTACTTATGCCCAATATGTCGTCTAAATAAATAACCGATAGGAGATTCTTTGATCGAAGAGTATTCACAATGGGTTTCATGAGCTTGGTAAAGACGTATGGACTTGTACTTAAACCAAATGGAAGACATATGAATTCGTATAATTTTTGATTGAATCGGAATCGCAGAAATTTTTTACTATTTTCACCGATAGGTACAAGGAAATACGCGTCTTTTAAATCTATCGTGAAAAGATAATCGTCAACAGAAACAAGATTTTTTACTGCTCGTAGATCTTCCATTTTAAAATGGTCAGTGTCGATAAATTTATTAAGTTTTTTCAAGTTAATAATAAACCGATATGATCCATTTGGTTTGGGGACTAGAAAGTAAGGTGATATGAATTGACCCTCGATGTCTTGACACTCTTCTATCGCTTTTTTAGCGAGTAAAGATTGTATTTCTTTTTCAAGAATTTTAATTTCAGAAGTTGACCATGTGGGTTCTGTTTTTTTATCGATCTGCATGGATTGTTTTTTAAATGTTATTTCATATCCCTCTAACCATTGAAGGATTATCCTGTCATTGGTTATGTCCTTCCATTTTTTGGTGAAAAAACGAAGCCTACCAGCAAGAGGGGTTACCTCATTTATTTTTTGGATGTTCGTGCTGCTGGTCTAGTCTTCTCGGAGTTGTATTTCGATGGGGGACGTGTCATTGCTGGTCTCGGTCTGTACTTCACATTGGTGAATTTCTTCGTCTGGTAGTAGCCCACCTGACTGTATCTCGTAGGTGGGCCTCCCAAGTTTCCCTGATTAATATTTTTTAGGATATATTTTTTGAGAGGGGGTTTTGGGGGAGGTTTCAGTGAGGCAGATGCTTTTTCAATCTCTTTGACGTCTTTGACTTGATCAGTCAAATGTTCTCCGTAGAGCCATTTGTCAGAGATGCTAGCATCCAGTGTTGGTTTGATTTCCTTGTCAAGGATGGGAGTGATGAACGATTTTCTGGCTATGGATTGCTGGTGATATGTGTCGCACAGCAATTTGCCTGTATCCCATAGATACTTCATCAGTTGAGCATAGTCAATGTCTTCAGCGTTGTTCATTCCCATGGATATAGCTGCACTTAGAGTTATGATCGCTGTTCCCACGCAATTTTGCGTGTCAATGAAGTGTTTGTCACGTTTTATGGCAATTTCTGACATGTGACGTTGAATCGGGAGATTGACTTGTGGGGCTTCTGTTGAAAAATCTCCATTTCGAGGATATTTCTTCAGAAGTTCTTTCCTGTTATCTTCTGATAGTCCTTTGGACATCCAGATCTTCCACCATTTTTTAACACCTTCATCAATTTTTATTGAAGAATCTGTTGAGGGGATTTCTTCTCCTAGCATCTCCAAAAAACTTGGATCTAGACCGAGTTCTTGAGTCTCCAAGGTGGAGTTTTGATGTGGGGAGATTTCTGAATTTTTGGTGGATTCATCATTTTTTGTTTCTACTGATTCTAGAATCTGGATGTCTGGCTCCATTGACTTATTGTCTGAGCTGTTCTCTTTGTTAGCCTCCTCCTCAGATTCTATAATAAGAAATTTTTTTTTTTTTTTTTTTTTTTCAGTATTCGTTTATTTTATTATTCGTGAAGAACTGGGATTTATTCGTGTAGAATTTACCCAAGTTATTTTCGTTTTGTTCGTATAGAACTGGGCTTTTATTCGTATAAAATTTTTTCCCAAGGTATTTTCGTTCGTATAGAACTGGGTTTCGTTCGTGTGGAACTTTCCCGTATGTTTTTCCGTGTGGGAATAACATACATGAATCATTATTATTATTTATTTATTTATTTTTTTTTTTTTACCTTGTGTGGATACTCCTTTGGCTTTGTCATTTCTGGAAGCTACCTGTTCCTCGATGAGTTTAGTGAGGTTATGAATTTGTTCCTCCATGATTTTCAATCTTTTCTTTGTGCTATTGTGTTCTCCATCATGATCGTGTGATCGTGATCGAGAGCGTTTCTTCGGTTTTCCCATTTGGGTGAACGATGGCTGTAATTTTATGTATCTTGAAGTAAAATATGTAGTTTGAAGCTCAAAGCGTCTGTAGTTGACCGCACAACAAAACAATATGAGGACACCAGAGGAACGCACGTAAGAGGGCGCCTACGCGCGGGAGAAAGTTCTCATTTTAAAAAAAAAAAAAAAAACTCTAAATGTGTAGTTGGCCGAGCACTTGACAGTACTACATGTTAACTATCATCGAGAACGAGACGCATAGTATAATGGTTATCAAAGCTTTGTTACCATAACAAAATTTTCATTAAGGTTAATTAAATTCAGCTGTTTTTTGTAACAATAACATTTTCCTGTAAGCACATTGAATTGGATCGGCCCGGTAGATTCTAAATATTGTTATTTATGACGAGTTGCAGAAGAAATCGTATCGTATGCGTCCGGTAGACTTGGAATAATTTTTTGTGGTTAATGTGTGTTGAAACAACAAAATTTTCTCGGAAGAGAATTTTTCCGGGTGAACCCGGTAGATATTGACTTCTCCATTCGTTGAGATGTTTGTGGAAACACCAATATTTTTCTATAAGAAAATCAT